TTTGCAAAAAAAAAAAAAGAAAGAAAGTAATTTATGTTGTAAAGTAAAGAGAAATTGTATGGCACCACATGTGGTACCAATTATGGTGTCATAACATGATGTGACATATTATGATTGATGCCACAACTATCACACATCATGTTGTGGCACCAATCATAATGTGCCACATCATATTGTGCCACATCAAATTTTCAATCCACAACTACATACATCAATTATAAGAAAAACATATAACATTAGTAGAGAAAACGAAATAGAAGAGCATAAAAGATTTATTTGATAAAATATATAACATGGTAGAGGTAATAGAGCATAAAAGATTGATTTTATTTATTTTTGTTAATCCTTTTATAGGGTTAAAAAAAACTAAACCTAATCTACCTTAAGGCTTTTCTTATTAACTAATTACAAACAAAGGCTCTCTCTCTCTTTCGCAAAGGCGAAAACCCAAATCCCTCTTTTCTGCCTGGATTTTTCTTCTCCGAGCCTTCCCCAGTGGGGCGCTAGGTGTTCGCGACGGCGACTGACTTCGAGCTGTGCAGTTGGCCCTCGATCTAGGGCTGGTGTTGGTCAGCGAGGAGAGAAAATGATGACGATCCGTTTGTAGTTTTTCAGCCAAGTATGATCAAAAGATCTCACATGGGTCGTCTTCTCGAAGGAAGGTTTTTCGGAGCTTCGTTCACTATATAGTCGTCGATTCGCAAAACCAAAAATGAGGTCCTAAACATGCTACTCGCTTGATTGTGGGTTGATTGGAATTACGTTAAGCTAAGCAAATGAAAGCAACTTAGGAAGGATAAGATTTTAAGAGAAAATATTGGGACTTTGGTTAATCGGAGTCTCATTCACTTGAAATAATGAAAATAAACGAAGAGAAACATACTATCACTAAGATTCCAGGTAGATAAACCGAGTCTTCTTAACTAAATAATCAAGCTTCAACAAAATCGAGACTTTTACAACAAGATAGACAAAAATTTAACTCCTAACATCAAGCACACAAGAAAAATAAAACAAAGTCGTAAATCGAGCATCAACACAAAATTTCGGCCAAATCACAAACTTGAAGTAATAAGCCCTAATCAATGTACTTACCCTCCTATCGCAAGCTCAGAGGAAAATAATGCGTAAAGATCAAATTTTGGATAAAAAAAGGTCGCCGGAAAATGTCAAGTCTTAGACCTCCAAACCAAAGCATAAAATAAAAAGCAGAAAAAGAACTAATTTCTGAACTAAAAAGTTGGAAAATAAGGGTGATGTCCAAAAATACAAAGCAAGATGTCTATATATAGCTACATCACAAACACACACTAAAAACACACACATTTAATGAAATTGTGGAGTCGTCGAGTCTCAAAATCAGTTTTGCAGCGAGTGTGGAGTGTGAATAGGGCTGGCCTCGGGTGGATTTACTGGGTCGTGAATGGCCTTTTGCAGTGAGTGCTGGCAGGCCGCCTCTGGTCGGTAACTCAACTACACGCGAGTCTCTTCTTGCAGCCAGTGCCGGTGCGCCTCGGGTCATCGCTCGCTAGGCCGAGGGTGATGTCTCATGGCGAGTGCTACTGCTGGGGCGCGCGCTGTTCACGCACACGAGGGAGACGATTCGCAACGAGTGTGCGCGACCTTCTCGTTGTTGTCTCGTGCGCCCTCGAACGGTGGTTCGCGATGAGTGATGCGCCAGGCGCGGGCGCCTGGCATCCCACTGGCTCGTGAAATGAAGCCCGCATCGAGGGGTGGCGCACTGGGCACGGGTCTCTCGGCCATGCTCGCACAGTCGCAGGCCGAGGCTTGCCAGCGAGTGCCAGACGTGACTCGTGCGCGAGTCGTGGTTCGAAAATTGCTCAAGATGGCTCGGAAAGGCTTGAACGGCTCGGACGACTCATTTTTCTAACCTCAACAATATGTACCTAATCAACACCTAAAGAGATAAGAAAATACGTCGAAACACAAAAACACAAGACGAGAACAAAAATACACAAAACCTGATAAAATGGAGCAGTCAACTCTAAAACGAACATGAAAAGACTCAACTAAGGCATGAAAAATACACAAAAAAATCACAAAAACACAATAAGCACGATCCAGGCAGCATCAACGTCGGTCGTCCTGGGGTGTTGTATCATCGGACTCCTAGTATCGTGTCGGGGGCCGACTGTGGTGCTTTTTGGGAAGTGGTTGCGGCTCTTGCTGCCGATGGTGGTGGTCGGGGTAGAGGCTATATCGTCTTCTCTCAAGTGCCTCTATTCCCTAGTGTTTGGGGTTAAGGGGTGGTCAGTGTCCTATTTTCTTGGCCGTGGTGTGCGCAGACTTTGGACGAAGATGGTGCGGGGGGAGTTGGGTAGGAGTCCCTCTGGCTTCGGGGTCGGGGTCGGGGTCGGGGTCGACCGTCTGGGTGTTGGGTCGGGTTCTTGGATTGCGGTTCCATTTAGGCATGTTTTGGCTGTTTTTGGAGTGGCTTCTCGGGGCTTGGCCTGGTTGTTATGGTCGTAGGTTGTTGTCATCTCCAAAATCGGAATTTTAGGCCAACGACCTCGCCGGCTGCTTCCCTAATCAACGGCCAAGATCAGTTCCTCTCTGCGCTGGAGTTCGTCGCGAAGCTTCCCGTCAGGTTGTGCGCCACCCGCTACCACTCCATTGAGGCAGACGGCTGGCCGAACCTCCTTTGTCCCCAATCGCCGGCGAAGAGGTTTTGGCCGAGCACGCCAGCTAGCAACACTATTCTCACCGATAGCAAGAAATTCTGGCGTCGATCTTAAAAAAAAAAAGTCTGGCGAAGCTATTGACCGGTCAATGGCCTCCGACCGGCGGTCAACACCCGTCGTTATGTTTTTATTATTTAATTGATTTAAATATAATAATAATAATAACTTTTTATTATTTAATGAATATATTTTTTAATCTATATATATAATTACTGAACTGATCCATTTAATAAAATATTTAATAAAATCTATTTTCATTTTCCTCCAAAAGGAGTTACATTTTTTTAATTAATTACGCACTAATCTGCTAAAATAGTTACACCTTAATATATATATTTTTATTATTTATTTTTTGGATCAGTTACTAAATCATTTCTAAATTTGGTAGCAAAATTTTCAAATGTATAACGACTAATGTTGAAACTTAAAGTTGATTGGCCATTAGAGCTGTAACCGCTATATTTGGTTGCATTGTTGGAAGAAAAATATGATTGACACATATTTGTTTTTTCTAAAAATTAGAAACACCAATATTTTTTTTTATTTATGATAATTTTCTTAATATATGCCACAAATATATAAATTATTTTAATTCGTGCTACTAATGTAAATGTTGCATGGTTAAAATAAAATTTAAATCTCACTTAATTTTAAATGATAAAAAATAACTTAAGAAAAAATAATACTACC